GAAAGATTTACTCCACTCACGTCATTAAGGTCACCTGAGGACGCAGCACTTCCCCAGTCGTGTGCCCTCCAACCTGAGGGACTCATCTTTGGGCACTGTATCAGACAATGTTTCACTGTTATTCATAAAGTTTTCCAGTAACATAGCAATGTTTCACTGTTATTCATAAGGTTTTCAGTGACCACTTTTTTCAGACATGGATGGCCCCATCTTTCCTCCTACTCTGTCTTAGTCTGGAAGCTCCACTGAAACCTGTCCACCACGTGTGACCCTTCTGGTATTTGATACCAATGGCATAACTTCCAGCATCACAATAACACCCATATATGTACACCCACATATATATCCACACATATCCATGTTGTTGTTATTTGCCATCAAGTCAGACCCAACTCATAGCAACCCCTCCTTGGGTTTCCAAGGCAATATCACTACGGAAGTAGATTGCCCGACCTTCCTTCTGACACACATCCATAGACACACATATATGTATACCCCTCTACATATCCATATATCATGTATACAAATATATGCATATCCACACATATACCCATACAAATCCCTATACATATAAATATGTATATCCCAGGGGCAGATTATCCAATAAGCAAGGTGTAGTAGTTAATGTTGTGTGCCAACTTGGCGGGGCCTGGTTTTGAGTGGCTAGGCAGCTGGATGCCGCTGTTACCCATAATGAGATTGTAATCACCTCCATGGGGGAATCTGCTGTGAACAGCTAAGTAGCTGCCTTCGGGGTGTGGCTGGCTTCCAGTCCATAAGGAGAAGCTATGAGGAAGGTCTCTACCTTTTGACACATCTGGATCCTGCATTTGGCCAAGTCTTCATCTCAGTGGCCTGCCATGTTGCCTGTCGATCTTGGGATCGTTTCTGGACTTGAACTAGTGGCCTGCCGGGTTGTCTGCTAATCTTGGACTGTGCCATTTTACCTGTCGATCTAGGGTTCATCAGCCTCAGCAGCCAGCAGCTGCGTGAGTCAGAAAAAGACTCCAGCTCCAGTGGGCCTGGAACAGGAGGTAGAGCTGAACCCCACGGTCAAGGGGCCTTCACCTAGCCCCTAGAGCCAGCATTTTGTTCTTGGACTTCTAGGCACTTAAACTATAAGAGAATAAATCCCTGTGTGTTAAAAGCCATCTACTTGTGGTATTTCTCTTATAGCAGCACTAGAGAATCAAAACACAAGGTAAGCATAGGCTTACTTGTGTTTACTTACTGTGATGCGATGGATCAATTTTATATGGCCTTTCTGTCTGTGGTGGATGTTTGTGTGTCAACTTGGCTGGCCCTGGTTGAGTGGCT